AAGAAAAAAATCGAATTAAAACTAGTATTTTTAATTTAGGCGGAGATATCGATAAATTATCTCACTCGTTCTTAATCTCTTAAATCGGCGCTTAAGATTTGTAACTTCCATTTGAAATACATTTTCAAAAAAATATTACGATCTATTGTTGCTAGATAATAAATAATAATAAAAAAATCATCTTAAGCATTTTTATCTACTAACAGCAAGTCCTTACGTTAATAAGAACATAATTATCAACAGAATTTAGGGAAAGTTGATGAGCAAAATTATTGTACAATGTTCAATCTATTGGCTTCAAGACCACTTAAAGAATACTGCAAGTGATTGCGGGTTTGTAATGCTATGATTTGAATCTCAAAATAGTCATTTTTAGTTTTTACCTGGCTACTAATTTTTTTTTAATACGATAGTTTTTTTGAATGCTTTAATATAACAATGTAAAAAGCTAAGATAAAAACTTACTTACAACATTTAAATACGATTTTGACACTTTGGCATTTGAGTTGTTGATGACTTTTTCGCTTAATAATTACATTGAACACTGGCATTTTGCTTTCGAAGGTCTACATATTGGTGCGATTATATATATATATATATATATATATATATATATGCAATAATTAATTCAAATTATTACTCTTTGACACGAGGATCCCATAAGCTCACAGTTCCATCAAAAGATCCAGTTATCATCCGTTCTCCGTCCTTGCTAAATTTCAGAGCTATTATTTCAGCACTGTGACCACAAAATGTGCGTATTTCTTGACCTAAATTTATAAATACAATGATCATCACGAGGTATTATAATTAGTTTTAGACCATACAAAATTTAAAAAATAAAAAATTATGCTTAAATTCTTCGAATGTATAATATGTTTCGGTTTAAAATTTCCTTCCATTGAAGATTTCAATTTGAGTTTTTTTGATTAATCTTATTTCAGAACTGAAAATCAAATTACGAAACAAATTTTTGATTTTTATCCAGTATTCGCAAAAGTTGAGTAGTTGAGAAAGTCGTTGAAAACGATAAAACTATTAGAAGAGAAAAGCATTAAATTTGAGACTACTGTTTCATTTTATGAGTAAATATTTTTGAAATTGTTAAAACACAAAACTCATACATATTTAAAAAGTGTAAATATTGATATTGATAAGGGATCGTTCAAGTATTACGTAAGATTTATTACAATTTATTACAATTATTTACCCCCACCCCCTTTGTCAGCAAAAGTAAGCAAAGCTCTTACCCTCTACCCCCATGCTTACGTAAACATTTTGCAATTAATGTATTGTTTTTTTTTAATATTGTAATTAGGTTATAATTATAACTTTAAAAATAAGAAAATAGGTTTAGGATGTAGAGATTTTACTGATATCGTATTGAACATAGAGTAACAAAATTATTATAATCTTACGAACATAATAAACTTATTTTAAATTTTTGATACTGGCAAAGACAAAGTAAGGTTGCCATTCGGTAAAAAAAAATAAAAATACTACCTATGACCTAATCATCATCCAGACTCCCCTGCCCCCCATGTCAACTCAAAATAAGCAAATCCATAACCCCCCAACCCCCTATAGTGCTTACGTAATACTTGAACGGCCCCTAATTTGATGGCTCAACATATTTGAATGAATTCCGAAACTGTTTGAAATAGATCAGCATTTAAAAATTGGATATATAGATATTTCGGATAAAAAAATTATATAGTGTAGGTATGTACATCGTACTGATTAGCTTGTTCAAACGAGATCGATTCCTTTTTTAAACAAAATTTTTCTTAAATTCAAATGATTAAAAATAAAAGAATATCTATGATAGTAATGATTACATTCAATTACCATAATCAAACTCGTACTCTTTGGAAATATAATGAAATTTGGTTACAATACCTGTGGCCAAATGATACAGCCGTGCCGTGCCATCTAAAGAAGCCGTAGCAGCCACACCTGAGTCTCGTTGGGGACTGAACTCCGAGCATACAACTTCAGCGCTGTGTCCCCAAAATATAGCGTCGCATGCGCCTGTACGCAGGTTCCAAAGACGTGCTGTCTTGTCAAAGGACCCCGTCAATGCTCTATTACTGCAAATAACGTACTAGCTGTAAGTGGAATTATGTCTTAAGGCAATTAAGGCATCGTGCCTTAAGGCAAATTGCTGGAACTTCCCGTACCAAAAATTATTATTTTTTTAAAAGCGATTAACATTTTTGAAAAAATGTTACTTCGAATAAATTAGATTTTTTAAAAACAAAAAAAAAAATGTTTGAAAAAAAAAGTTTTCTTTATTTTGACATAGTTTGGAAATTCTGAACTTTTTTTCAAAGCAATCGTACTACTTTAACTACATAGAGACGATATGTCAAAGCGCGTAAGCGCCGCGTCGCCGTCTAACGGATAAACATTGGTACGAAACCCATAGGAATGTAAACAAAATTCATACTTAATGTAAAAATCTCTATAAAATATCTGATAATTTGATGTGCATATGTCTAATGATCATTTTTGACCGCCAAATGGCTTTTTGTTTTACTTTTTTCATTAGATCTCCAAAACCGCTAGATCTGCCTTCATGAAAATTTGATAAATTCTTCATCTTGTCAATACAAGTAAAATGTTTTTAAAATCGGACGCTCCGTTCTCTTAAAAACCGTGTTACCGTTTTTGGCACTTTTTTCCCCGTATCTTCGGAACGGCTAAAGCTGCCTCCACCAAAAACTAATCAGCACGTCTCCTTATCAGTACAAATCGAATGTTTTTTAAATTATTGAAATCGGTTGATTGGTGTTCTAGAAATCGTCGACGAAAATTTGTATCCGAACACACACACACGCACACACACACACATACACCCATTTTTTCTAAGGTATGCCAAAATGTTCAGAAACCTCTGAAACGTAAAGATATATAAAAATTTTCATTTTCGATTTTTTTGCGATTACTATAACTTAACCTACGGGAAGTTAAAAAATAAAATATGTAGATGTATTGTAGAAGATGTTTTTAATATTTTAATAAATATTTACCAATCTGGGTATTGAAATGCTACGGAGAAAACAACATTCTTATGACCTTCGAGTGAAATTATTTCTTCTCCAGTTTCTACATCCCATACCTTGCATGTTCTGTCGTAACTCCCTGACAAGCATCTGCAAATAAAAATGTCAACATTACAAGGTTTATGTTTCATAAATGGCTCATTGCTTATGCACATTTTTATGCATTCCGTTTAATTTATAAATCATTTTGACATAACAAAAATTCTGAAAGTAAAAGAATCAATGACAAGAAGTATAGAGTATCTTATAAATAAACAAATGTATAACTATATAAAGAGTAGGGCGGGGCACAAAGGTCCAATTTGACTATGAGAAATTATATTGTGATGACGAAATAACTAACTATCTTACTAGTGTAGTAAAACATAAAAAGTAAAACTTCCAGCTAATTCATCATTGTAGAAATAGTTTTTTAAAGAATTCTTGTCTGGTCCTTCTTACCCTATAGGCGGGGTAATATAGAACAGCCAATGGGCAGATAGGTTCAATGCCTCATTTTTTATTAAAGGGATTTTACATTATTCATCCAATGCAAAATATAAAATTTATTGATACATTTTTTACAGAGATAACACTGCATATAACCATTATTTGGTATTTCGCCACCAAAGTTGGTTTTCTTAACTTGATTTACTTTTTTTATTGTTTACACCTTTCTGAGGGTAAAAGCTTAGATGGTCCTTTTTACCGGTAAATTTTTATAAAGGTTAAAAAAAAATGTTGAATCTAACTTAAAAATAACAAAAACAGCTCAATCACCTCGATTTTCGACATCGCTATTGGTAGATAAACGATGTTTGAAAATAGATAACAAAAGTATATTTTTTTGTTGTTAGTTTTTTTGGTTAGGAGCACTGTTATTTAGTTTATGAGAGCTTAGCATAATATACATTATACTTGAATTATTTAAGTATCCGTGTTTAAATGTTTTATAAGTTATAAAACGATGTATGGCATCGTGCCTTAGGGCAAAATTCTGAAACTTCCTGTATCAAATATTAATTTATTTTAAAAACGATTAAATTTTTTTTAAACTTTGAAAAAATTAGGTTTTTGAAAAATTTTAAATTATTGAAGAGTTTTGAGTTTTTTTGAAACAAAATGTTTTTTATTTTGAAATATTTTAGATATTTTGAACTTTTTTCAAAGCAATCGCGCTGCTTTAGCTGCATAGAGACGAAATATCGCCCGATGTCCCGTAAACTATAAAAATGTAAACAACATTTATACGTATTATTTAAATCTTAATAAAATATCTGAAATTTTGATGTGCATATGTCTAATGATCATTTTTGACCGCCAAATGGCATTTTTTGTACTTTTTTTACCAGATCTCCGAAACCGCTGGACATGCATTTCCAAAAATTTAACCAGTTTTTCATCATCTTTTCAGTTGTGTTTTTTCATCAACAAAAGTAAAATGTTTTTTCAATTATTAAAATCGGACGCTCCGTTCTCTTAAAAACTGAGTTACCATTCTTGGCACTTTTTGCCCCGTACTTTCGAAGCGGCTGAATCCGCCTTTGCCAAAAACTAATCGTCTCCTTATCAATAGGAATCGAATGTTTTTGAATAATTGAAATCGTTTGAACCGTGCTCCTGAAATTGTCGACACAAATTTGTATTCGCACTTACATTCATAATTTTTTTCTAAGATATGCCTAAATGTTCAGAAACCTTTGAAACGTAAGATATATATAAATTTTCATTTTCGATTTTTTTGCGATTACTATAATTTACCCTACGGGAAGTTAATTATGAGTAACAAACTTTGGATGTTTTGCGTCCAATGTGACAAATGACAATTTAAAAAAGTTTATCAAAATAATTATGTATGAATTCAAGAAAAAAGATTAATCGAATACTCAAGAAAATTGACAAATTGAAAATGATTTAGTAGCTAGTGATATTATCTAACATTTCGCTGGTTTTCATTTTTGTGGATACACTGTTATAAATAATCTTACTCAAAAGCAGCTGTTCACACATGCTTATTTATCTATGTTCACATTTTCAAGTGTTGCGCAATAATGTTCAATACATTATTATAATTTTACTTATTTAATTTCATTACAACTTTGATAACCATATAATTTTTCTTGTTTTTAATTTCTTCATTAAAATCTATTCAAATTATAGAAAAAAACTAAACAAAGTTTTTCAATTTAATATTGACAGTTTTTTTGACAACTCTACACGTTGGTTACTCTGTTTGTGACAGACAAACTGATACCATCTTAGCCAATGTTAACCCTCTTGTCAATTCAAATGATAAACTTTCAAACACATGAATTTATGCTTCTAGTGTTCTAATTCATAGTTTGTTTACATTTAAAGTTTATATGATTTTTTATAGCCCAAATTTTACTATTTATTTCAAATAATAATATTAATAAATTAGTTAGTTATATTTAGTATCTATCGAGTTGCAGAATAAATTTTAAAATTACCATGCATTGTTTTTATCATGAGAATTACAAGTAGGTAAATTTAAAACATCAATAATCTTAGTAATAAAAAATGATGCACATACGTGATTTCAATCCGTAATTGTGAAAACTAGATGATTTTAATCAATAGACTATAATTAGAGTCAAAAATTTTACGGAATGATCAAATGTTATAAACAGTTCATATAAATCTATTTCAATCCATACATAGCTGGCATGATTTCCATCATAATGCTATTCAAACATAGACATTTTTAGATAATGCTAGACATATTTTTAAATGAATTATTATTCATTTTGATTATTTTACATAAGCAGGAAAAGGATGACCATACAGAGGAAATAAACTTATATTTGATTGCTGGAATTATAGAAAAAATGTGACTATTTAAAATAAATAGATTGCAGAAGCCTGCACAATATCTTACACCAGAAGACTACTACGAAGGTGAATTATACAACTGCTCAATTTAACATGTCCTAACTGCATTTGCAATACAGATCCTTAACACACATATCTACTATTCTTATTAAAAAAGAATCAAAAAGGTTACAATCATACAGAAAAAAAAATACTTAAAATTCCTTTATCCATAAAATAACCAAAAGAATTAAGAATGCCATTTGAAAGTGGAATTGATGAATATTTGGTTACAATACTGTAGAAAAATAATAATATAGAGCAGCAAACAAAATTTGTTTAATAAGATATCTATCTACATTATGAGATCTTGAATACAATTACAAAAGTGATGGAATAATTGAACTTAAACTCTATTGTGAAAAAAGCTTTTCATGGGCGATAATGTGATGTTTATCATACGAGGAATATAATTAAAGTAGAAACATACTATTTATTTTAAATTATGAGAAGAAGAATTATTCAGAGTTTAAAAAGTATTAGATTGATTATTGTTGTATATGTCTCTGATGAAAATACCACTAATATCTAAAGTCTGCAAAATACTTAAAAAGAGATAATAATTATTTATCATGTCATAGATTGAATACATACATACATGCATTTTTGATAGGTAATTGGGAAGTTAAAGGAAATCCTTTTTGTTGATGTGTTACATTATTTAAGATACATAAGAAACAATTTTTTAGGAGTGGATGACATTAAAATAAAAGAGTAAAAAAAATAATGCATTTTAGGTGGTCACATATGATATTTATAATGTTGGTGAAGTAATTTTATGGAAGCTAAAACACGGGTGTAAGACAAATGTCTTGCAAAGAAAATAAAAGAAAAAGTGCTGCATTTTTTAATCAATTAATAAAGTATATCTTTGACTATTGCTGTTCTGTTTTTTTATAAAGTCCGTTTTAGTTGTTTTTTGTTGTGCATTTCACATTAGTTTTAAAAATTGTGGTTATATATCTCTACACTTTTTTTAATGTACAATGTCATCAAAAATAAAACTGAAACGAGTTGCATTACGAAAAAAATCTGTGTTGCCGCTTAGAGTGAAAATAGAAATACTTGATCGTTTACGCCAAGGAGAATCATTTGCATCCATATCACGCTCATTCAAAATCAACGAATCAACTGTACGATCAATAAAAAAATCAGAAAGTAAAATAAGGTCTTCTATTGCTTCAACTTCACTGTCATCAAAAATTGTTCGTGATCCAGCAATAGAAAAAATGGAAGTAGCGTTGTCATTATGGATTCAAGAGTGCAACCAAAAAATGGTGCCTCTAAATGGGCCAATGGTCCGGGAAAAGGCAAAGTATCTCTACACTAATTTTAAAGAACCTGATGGTAGTGGTGAATATACAGATGGAGGATTTCAAGCTTCGGAAGGTTGGTTCAATAAATTTAAGGCGAGACAATCATTGCATAACGTTAAACTTGTTGAAGAAGCTGCATTTGCAGATCGTCCTTCACCAGAACAATATTCTGAACAATTTGCAAACCTAGTAGCTGAAGGAGGATACAAACCTGAACAAGTATTCAATATACATACAATTGAACTGTTCTGGAAGAGAATGCCAAAGAAAACATTTATTTATAAAAGCGAAAAATCTGCTTGTGGATTTAAGGCAGCAAAGGATAGAGTTACACTGTTGCTATGCTCTAATGCATCTGGAGATTGTGTCATCAAGCCACTGATGCTTTATAGCTTACTTAATCCTCAGGCTTTAATAAATCAAAACAAGAATAACTTGCCAGTGTTTTGGCGTGCTAATAAGAAAGGGTGTATTACAAGTGCTATTTTTTGTGATTGGTTCCGTACTTGTTTTGTTTCTGAAGTTAAAACTTATTTAAAAAAACAGAATTTATATTTTAAAGCACTTCTTGTTTTGGAGGATGAACCAGCTCATTCTCGCAAACTTGAAATAATGCATCCAAGTATTAAAGTCACATTTTTACCGCCCAGCATAACGGCTGTGCTTGAACCTATGAACCAAGGGATAATCCAAGTATTTAAACTCTATTATATGAGACGAACTTTCAAAATTCTTTTGAATAATATGGAATATAATCCTGATCTGGATCTTATGGAAAGCTGGAGGAAATTTGACATAGCAAAATGCATTGTTAACATAAAAGAATCATTGGATGAACTGGACCCACATACATTGAAGTCATGCTGGAATAAACTGTGGCCTGTTGTGACAACAGAAAATGATGAACCTGTGCAAGTTCAAAATTTGATGGCCAATATAGTTGAAATAGCAAATGAAATAGGACGAGATGGGTTCGAACTGATAGAATTAAGTGATATTCAGGAATTACTTGAAACACAAGATGAAGCTTTGACCGAAACTGACTTGGAGAAAATGTTAAATGTACAGCTCATTGAAGAAGAGACTCCAACAGGTACTGATATAGCAACATTTAATTTGAAAAATCTTAGTAAAGGTTTAAGAATGGCAAATGAGCTTTGTGAGTTCTTTGTGAACATTGATCCATCTATGGAACGGAGTCTCATTTTTAAGAAGCAAATTGCTAATGCAACTGCTTTGTATCATTCTGAATTGAAAGTACTTTTACAAACTGTCAAGCAAGATAAAATTACGAAGTTCTTTAAACCATTGCCTAAGCCCTAAAATAATTAATTACAATGTTTAAAAACTTCAATGAATTTGATTGGTTTTGTTAGAGATTTTTATTGAGTCACCTAGAAACTTATACCATACAATTTTATATAAATACCATTCTATAACATACCGCTCGCGAAAATGTATAAATGTATAGTATGCAACATCACTTTTGATCGTTATTTTATATATAATAAAAGAATTTTATTAAGATTAATGTTTTTCTTTTAAACATTATGATATATTATTTTCTTACCCGCAGGTATGTAAGTTGTATATACATATATGTAAATAGCGCATTTCAAATCGGCAGAAAAAAACATTAGACTCAACCACACTTCTTTAGGGCGCAGAGTTTGTAAGCATAATTACATATACTGAAACCTGTTCTTGTTACCACAACCAACTTAAGTAATTGTCATTGCTATAAAACTAAACATTTGGATGGTTTTTTTTTGCCATTGGTATAGAAACAATTCATTATTATCCTTATTATTGAAGTACTTTATAATTCTCACACACATTCTAATCTGTCCCGGATTTTATGCAAAAAATATGGTCACCTCTGTATGCAAGTTATTTGTTCACTGTTGTGATTAACGCGATATTTTATAATAATTTGTGTATTTGTTATTATTCGTGATATATAAGCCAAATAAGGATTCGAAACGGATGTAAAATGTATTAGCTATTTTTTGGAAACCTTGGTTTTTTGCTATTTTTTTAAATCTGTAACCTGGTTCTTTTTACCCCATAGGTGGGTCAAACGTCTTATTTTAATTTTGAAGAATTTTCACAAAATATTACCTACTAGCTATTCAACCAATGCAAAAAATTAATTTTATGGGTGCATTTTTTACAGATATCACACTATAAAATCTGTTATAGGTCTGCTGTTAATATTTATCAGCAGAGTTGAAGTAACTATTTATTTACATTATCTCTTGTATAATTTCGTTTTTTAACTTTTTTTATTTGCATTTTTTTATATTTTTGCATCTTCGCTAGGAAAAATAGTTGGTCCTTTTTACTTTATAGAGGTTATATAAAAAAACTGTTGAATCTTAATTAAAATTAACAACACATCTTGTATAACAATTAAGTAACCTATACTTAAAAAATATATTAAGGTCTCGTAAACTAAGCAACAGTGCTCACAACCAAAACAAATAAAAACGAAAGAAAATACTTTTGTTGTGGATTTTCAAACATTGTCGTTTTTGTTCCGATAGCAACGTCGTAAGAATCAAGGTAATGGCTTGTTGTACATCTTTTATCCTCTACTTTCAAATATTGTTGTTGAGAAATTCGTAACTTTACTGGTTTTTAAAATATCGGTGGTGATATTAATATTTCATTTTTTTTTAATATAATTATATTAGGATATTTCAAACTTTTCAAATTTTGTTGTAATTATTCCAAATTTTTGTTCTTGGGCCTTGTAACCCAAGATTTAAGGAGTATGCCCCTGGATCGTCGGGTATATTGGGGAAATATTAACAATTAAAATGACATATGGGCACTTAAATAAAAAGAGCCTTACCTTTCTCCGGACTTATCAAATGCAACATTTGTGATTGGCAATGCATGAGATCGTAATGATTTGTATTTATAATATTTGTGATCAACGCTTTCCAAACAGCGATCTTTCAGCCTTTGTAGTATTTCTTCCAGTTCCGATTGGACGTCACCATATAGCAGCTTATGTTCCTTATTTATACGATACGCCAATAGTTTAATGTCGGTACTGTAATACTGCATATTATAGAATTAACGTTGAAATTGAAATATAATCGTTCATTTAATTCATTATAATACTTGCTTATGTGTCAAATCCAGAAGATCGATCATTTTAATGTGAGTCTCGCCCGTTTTCTTGTATTCAAATCCAAGTCCTACGTAAGATTAGATTAATTTAATTAATATCATTATAAAATTACTGTAGTAATATATAATCAAATTAGCAAACCTGGTGGAAAATATCTCAGAAGAAATCTCAAAAGGCGCATTTCAGAACTGTCAATACCCATTTTGTTTTCACGGACATCGTAATTGATCTAATAAAATTTAGTTGCGTAGTAACTATTGATGCGCTTATATATTCTATTATATATATTCTTATAGTTAAAATACTTTCATATGCTAAATTCTTATTATCATTTATTTGGTAATTCTTACAAAACAAGATTGAAAGAAGTGTTGAAGTTGAAAGGAATGGTAAATTTTGGTTTTACTACAGTAAACCTAAATTATTAAAAGTGCGTTACAAGTTAAAACCAAATTAAATGGCACTCATTTTTTGTAACGATAATTTTAACTTTTTTTTTGAAGTTTTTCATTCTATACACAAGTTTGAAATACTTGCATATTACATATTTTAGGGCATTTTTTATGAACTGCTGTTTCGATCTCATTTCGCATTATCATAAAATATTTGCTAAACAAATATAACCTTAAAAATATTTACTATTTTTATCTAAGAATTTTTCGAAATTATTTAATTAAGTCAATTGGTAGAAATATTTGATTTAATAAAAATAAAGAATACTTAAAAATTCAAATATTTTTGAACAAAGTCTTTTGGTTTTTTTGCGAGGGGTAGGTCCTGTCGTTCCGGAAATACGAAAGAAAAATATAAAGAATGGTAATTTCGTTTTAATTTCGACTTTAATGATTAATTACTTTTTGCGTATTGGGTCCAAGTACATTAAGTAGTAATTGGTCAAGGCAGGTACAGCATGGTAAAAAAGTAAAACCATTTGATGATCAAATTAGCCGTATAAGGTATCGTGCATTTAAGAAAAAAAAAATTGATCGAGGAAAAGAACAGTTTCATAAAATATATAGAGTGAATTAATATCACAAATAGAAATATAAAACGCTGAATTTTTGAAGGTAATTAAATATATTTTGATACTTGAAACATTTCAGAAAAAAATCAAATTTGGAACGAGTTTTTTCTGCAGACGTATGCAAGATTGCTTTTTATTTTTATACCTAGCAAAAAAGCAGAGTTAAACAGTGCTGCTACCGTTAATTTTCTAGATTGTTCGACAACTTTCTAAATTCATTCTAGAAAATGTTTACTTATTTATCATATGCTATTGGCAAACTTCGTTATAAATATGCATTTGATTCTAAACATTTTACGGTTGATATTCAACCTTCATTGCACTTAATAAAAGATCAAAATATTATTACTTATATTTTTTACAATATCGTCCGTACAGTAGTATAATCTATTAAATCGAGCAGCCATTGTCATTTTTAGCAAAATTCAAATAGTTAACATTTATGAAAAGATACAAGTTCATTATGTAATGACGAAAATTATTGAACAATAAAAATTAATTACATCAAGGATTATTCCAAATTTTATACAGTAGAGCTGCTTTCTAAATCTCAATGTTTCTAGGATTTTTTTAAATTTTAAATTATATTATGCAATATAAACTATGTAGACACATTAACTGGTGTAAATATTATGAATTGATTTTTAGTGGAACTGGTAGATTTCTGAATTGCGATGGAGGGTTTTTTTGATTTTATATCATTCCATCTTGATTTCCCTGATTCATATGCGTGATGTTAAGAGATTCGCTCATTTGTGGCTGATTATACCACATCTGTCCAGCATCATATTGTCCATTTGTATCCATCACGCATATCTTTGCTTCATTTGAAAAATCAGGCGCTGTACCATTTGAATTGGATTCTGCATTTGGCAATGCTAAATAAACACAATAATTGGCATAATTTTGATTGCATTAAAATCTATTTTTAGTTTATGCTAGTGTTTGTATGAATGTACGAGTAAATGAATTTTTATTGATGAGATGAAATATATTATTAAGTCCTTATAGTAGAAATGATTGAAATAGATAAAAATTGATATTAATATTTTGGAATTAACATTTTAGACATGATATATAACAATTACCAAAGATTCTACATTTTTTAAAAAAAAGATCTATGAAAACGTTTTTGAATTATAAAGACCGGCAAATTGCGCGAATATCCTGATATCCAAAAATAAACTAATAAATAAAAATGTTCAAAGAATTTATCAGAAAAAGTTGTCAACTAAATTGTTTGCTTAACGAGTTCGATTCTGGGCCGATCTCTACTCATCAAGCGAGTTTGCATTGAAATGCATCAACAATATTACATTAAGCAAAAAATAATGTCACATCACGTATATGCAAGAAAGATAGCACTACAAAAGCATAGAGCTTGCAAAAATGTTATTGTACTGACCATAAGCAGTGGCTGTTGATGGCGTATCGCAGTAAATCGACGGAGTACTGGTATTCCTGGTTGAATCCAATTGATTCGCATAGAATTGCGACAAAGCGGTATCGCTACGTCCAGCTTGCTGCTGTTCGGTATACTGGTGTTGCGGAGAAACGTAGAGCGTGCCGTGGGCAGCGGATCCGGCTGCTGAGCTGGAGCGTTGAGGCTGCTTGACATTCGAGTAGGCCGTTCGACGAGGAATATTCAGCGACAGGTACTCATCTTGCAAACCATTTCGGCTTTCGGGACGCGTATACCGCCTTCCGGTCTGAAAGCAATTAATAATATAAACGTAGTAATTGCTGCATCACAATGACTCAACAGATTTATACATAAATTAGTGGTGCAAGGCATCGTACCTTAACAAAAATTGCAGGAACTTCCCGTACCCAAAAAATAAATTAATATATGCGTGTATATTTTAAATAATATATAAAATACTCACTTTTGTTAAAGGATCTCCTTGCATATTAGCAGAGTTGACTAATATTCCTCCTACAGCAATAAGTTACAATAAGCTGAATGTACCACATATATTGTTATATATTTAATTTTTTCAACACACTTCCTTAAAAATATATTTACTCTAATTATTATTTAGTATACCGTTTTTTTAATACATCGCAAAACACAATTTTGTGAATATCTATGAACAGTTAATATTAATTTTGAATAAAAATAAACCAATTTTTTTAGTAACTTTTTGGTTACAGAGGATATACCTCACGCCGGGCAATTTTGAAATTTTTGTTTGTCGAACGTTTTGGATTGAGCATTGCACACTAGATACGTATATTTAAAAACAAACGTAATATGTTTAATCTAGTAGTGATGCAAATGTTCCCCAATATAGGAGTATCTAGTAACCCACACCCGTGAACAAAACAACGTACAACCAAACTTTCCAAATTTTAAACTCGACCGAGCGGCAAATCAAAATTTAAAATCGTTTAAATCATCTAAATCGGTAAAATAACTTTTCAAAATTTAAAGTATTAAAACTATAATTACGCGCGTTTCCTATATAATTTTAAAAAAATGTTTTGGAAAAAAAATTAATTTGGAAAATATATTAAGTTAAAAGTTGTCGAACAACTTGAGTGACAAGGCATAACCGGTACATCGTACACCAGAAGATACATACAGAAGCGGAGAAGTCACTTCAAGTCGTTCTACACCGAAACTATGGGCAAACAAAACATGATGTGCAGATTGGAAGATCTTTGCGGTCAAATGGACTGGTATGTCTAATAGTTCACATAGTAATTACTCCGTTTTCATTGATATATTGTTATTGATATATCTTTCAAAAATTTCCACGATTTTATGAATTTTTTTGAAATTTTGCAAAGCTGAACTGTCACTTTTTATTTTCGGTGAGTATGATTTTTTCGTAATCCATATGCGATTTACTTCATGAAATGTGTTTTTAATTTATGTTTCTTTTATTTCATCTAAAAATAATAAAGTTAAAATTAATTGAATAGTATTTCAAATTGATTTTGTTGTTACTTGTATAAAATATTTTTTATATAATCTACGTTTCTTACAATGCGTACATTATTTTATAATATATTCAGTATTATTAGAAAAACTATCTATATTAATAATTACTCAAAGTTTCAAATGTTGCAAACATAATTCCTTTTCGTAAAAACTCATTTTCGATATTTTGTAATGTTTTCAATGTCATACACCTCCATATATTATTATTGTACAGCAATCCTTGCGGCCCAACTGTTATGACAGTTTCGTGCCCTGGACCGCCACCATGCCCGCCGCCGTGCCCACCATGCCCAAGAATGCCTTCATGCGGTGTTCCTCCACCAGCTAGAATACCCGTAAATATTATCATACAAATCATTCAAATATTCATGTAAATTATTATGTAATATCTGAAAGTATCATGAATATTTATCTGAAAGTGATTTAAAAATTTCATCTTTCTATTTGAATTGTAAACAACGACTATTTTCAGGTGTTCCCTCCGCCAGTTCTACCAGCACCTATCTGCCCACCACCAATTTGCCCTCCACCTATTTGTATCAAGGTAAATAAGTTGTAATACGCCTAACTAGTTGAAATAAGTTTACCAATATTAGTTTATTTCAAATTTGTAAAAATTGTCAAGTTAATATATATCGTTTACGAACTAGCTATTTCAAAATTTGCTGAATGAGTAAATTATATGAGTGCACGTGCACACTAGTTTTGAAATCGTTCCGAACATAGTTGTTAAATTGAAATGTATTTATATTGTTATTATTTTTTTTAAATATAAACTATATCACTATATAACACTATTCTAAATAAAGTATTTACAAAAGAGGTATTATAAAAATATAAAGAAGTATAATATCTTCTTGATTTGTCAAAAAACAAATAATCATTCAAAGTTAAAGCTATGAGCATGATGCATTTATCCTTAGGTGCAACCACCACCAATTTGCCCGCCGCCAATTTGTATTAAGATTCAGCCACCAGTAGTGTGCCCACCTATCGTTCGACCACCACCGATTTGCCCGCCGCCAGTTTGTGTGACAACGTGCCAACCTCCCGGTATAGTACTGTTTTTAAATAGTAATATAAAATACTAGAAGCATATTCTATCAATATACTTGCAATTTCCATAAGTTTTATTCCAAACAAATATTTCTTTAATGTTATCTGCCACCTGCAGCAAGTTAATGTTACATCGTGTCTTTTATCCTCCTAGCATCACAACTAATACTTTATTAATATAATTTATAATTAACCCTCCGTCGGTCGGATATTTTTTCACCTTCGAACGGTCGGAAAGGTCTGGCTGGACCACCATTCATTTTACATGCATTTATATGGGATAAATGAGTTTTTGGTGTCTTATATATATTAACGATTATTGTAGTAAATATTTATAGTTTTGATTTTTTCTTTTTCTTACCGTCTTTTGCATGTGTTAAGCTTGCTTATGATAAAAATATTATATATTATATTATATAAAACAAATCAAGAAATATAAAAAAATCGTTGCTTTTTTTGTCATCAATGTTTTATATCAATGAAAAACCATATTTATTCTTTTTCGGCGCCTTAGAAATGAATGTGAAATTCAAATGAAAACGAAATGAGGTGCATCGCCTTTGAAATGAGCTGTAAAATTCAAAGTGAAAATATAATTTCACTACAGGTTTGCAAAAAAAAAAAAAAATTCGAACGAAGTACTGGTAAAAAAATTGTTGATATGTGTGCATTACTCATCCGATTTTCAGTGTTTGCGATTACCAATGAGTTTGGTAGGTTTTCAAAGAACTCTCGTCATGAAAATACTAAAATTCATGTTACAACACATAGCAAAGAATATATACAACGCAGTTTGAATAGAAAATACCATGAAAAAAGTCAAAATACTGGTTTACATATATCAACAAGCGATAATTCATACAAAATGTATGGGTGGTCTAGACAGACCTTTCCGACCGTTCGAAGTATAAAAAAGTTAATATCCTTATAATTATCCTTCTGTACATTTTTTCGTCCTGATTTTTTCATTGATCGACAGCTAATGAAATTTTAGGAAAAGTCAAGAAATTTCAAGTCGATAGGATTACTAGAAGTATTTTTTTTTAATTGAAGTCGAAAAAAGTCTGGCCAGACCACGCCGACCGACGGAGGGTTAATTATTCAATTCTCAAATGTTTGTCTTTGAAAATTTCCATGCCATAACCGATATATGCTTTCATCGCAGGTTGTTACCCGCCATGTGGTCCTTGCCCGGTCCAGTGCTCGCCATGCGGAGGTCCTTGCGGTCCATGCGTGCCGCTATGCAATACTACGTGCGAACCGTGCCCTCCATGCATGCCCTGCGATCCATGCTGCTCGCCCTGCTATCCCTGCCCCCCGCCGAATCCGCCATTCATGCCGTGCCCGCCCTGCATGCCGTGCCCGCCGCCGTCGCCGCCACGATGCGTAAATATTACCACCAAATAAAATTTAAACGGTCACACAGTTTTACATATCATAACGTTCAAAATTCATTTGACTTAAGACGTTCGACTGACTTAATATCAATAAACTCATAAGCAACTTGCTAAATATCCCCATTTCAAATTAGATATTTTATTTTCTCACAAAACGGAATCTATATGATTTGCAAAAACGCATGAATTGATTTTACGTTCTCGTTAACAGACAAATAATAAGATGTTTGTTTACATGCATAATATTTTACTTATTCATATTTTTTTATTATTATAATTTGCATTTTATTTTGTCATATTGTATGTGTTATTGCGTTATCGCTCGTGTTTGTACATGTTTGCAAAGTCTAAAATTTTCATTATTGAAACATGATCTAAAAATTATCGCAGTATAGGTGAAAGAATATAATATTTCGTACAATAAGACGTTCTAATAATGAGTTATATCACACAGCCCAAGGAAGCTAGCTGGAAGAATCCGTATAAGAGGCCGACGATTGTCTTTAACAGCATTTACGAACAAAGACCAGTACCATCATTGCGAATGTTAGAAAGATTAGGGGACTATCAAAGAACATCAATGGACTTCATTGAAATTAATAATAATAACTGCCCAAGTAAAAGAGGCTGTCCATAAATTAAACCATAACAATAATTTCCCGTTCCAAGATCTTTAGTTCGACTTATTTGTAAAATGTTTCATATGTTTTCAAAGACTTTGTCCAAGTGAATTTAATTCAAATACAAAACAATATATTCAAATTAAAAAATTAAAAATAATCGATAATATTAATTGTCGCTGCTTCTTGTCCATGTAAAAATGTAACGGCTGTAAACACAAACTACTTAATACAATTAAAAGTGAGCAATTTATAATGAAGAGATTTAACAGAAATTGAGTAACATTCAGTAAACGATTGTTTTGTGGATAATTTTGCGAGTTTCCCAAAAGAACCGATCTGGCATTTAGTGGACGATCTGGATTCAATAAATTGATGAAGATTGCGAACCAAATACACAGAAGGTATGGTGCGCGTGTCGACATACTATATATACAAGGGAGAAGCCATGATTTGTGAGGATTCGGTTTCGGTTTCGGTTTTTTATGGCATGTTTAATAAATTGAATTTTAGTGATGAAACGGTATAACACATTATCACATCACAAATCATGTTGCAGCTCTACCGTTTTTGTATGATGGCACTCACTGAGTTGTTTTTTTTTATCGGCAAGCAGTCTTAAAGAAATAAACAAAGCACTTTATTAAGATAAGGCTCTTGGGATAGTATGTCGATTCGCGTCACTATGCCTTTGCAAGTGTACTCTTAATTTTAAATTCATTTGCTAATAATTTATTATATTATTTGAGTTTGAAAATCGAAGCATCTATCAATTCAAGCGCCTTATCTTCAATTGCTTGAATTGAGTCAAAACGAGAAAATTATTTTCATTGCGTGATTTTTATCAACTTCGATACATAACCCTTTCCTTATTTACTTATTTTCAATTTTAATAATTTATCATTTAGAAAATGAAGTAATAGAAATCACGACTTATACATGAGACTTATGAATAATGTTTATTTACGAAACATTGTTAATAAGTATTATCATAAGTGACTGTAAAAAATGCTATTAGTATATTTGATAAATATTTGATTCGATTTGTATTGAAAGTTGTATTTACTGCACGAAACTCAAACAATTTAATATCTACCTTTTGAAATTGTAGAATGAATATGAAAATGTTAATATTGTTTTATTATTTTGTTAGCAAGTTTATAATTTATTTATTTCTTTTTCTATTAGAACGGTCTCTAAATCGAGAATGAAGCGCAATTTTAGAAACAAAACTAAAAATGGAAAAATGTAACGCAGAAATTTTTGGAGAGATGACTTGAGCGCCGCCGGCGAAATGCGGTGTGATTTCACGGTAACACAGGTAAAATGGATAAATCAATTGACAAGACTTTTCAATATAAATTTTTATAATATTTTCGTGATCCATCAACCGCGGTCGCCGGCTGCGTTTGATGTCGACTAAGCGCTTCTGAAATAACAGATTTCGTATATACAATATCAATATTATTATATAAATTATACTAATTATTTATCTCAGGAAAATATCGTATCCGAAATATGCCAAGGAGCAGACGTTTGTGGAAATGGCAAATCATCATTGTGCGGAGGAGCAGATATCAAACGTGTTAAAAGTATTCAGTTATATGCAGGAAGGATACGGAAAACTTGTCAATGTACAGGCACCACTGGACATTTAAATACATGCTTTCTGGCAAACTGCCCTGAATCTTTTATTAATAACGGCGCTCCACAAACCAGTAGTGTGAACAACTCGGGCGTGAAATCACCCGGTACTTGCATTATGAATGCGAATACTTTTGTTAATAATATCGGAAATGACATGCCTGGCGGTTTTGTATCTGGTAACGACAGCATTCTTTCTAACAATAACTCATATCAACAAGCTGATATAAAATCAAGCAATTTAGGGTACAACTATAAAGATACAAGCACAAACAATAACACAAACACTAAAAATTATGATGATAAAAATAATGATATGGGTTTCCAAAATAATACTAACTCTGTAGTGAATAAGCAGTGCGCTACTAACGACTCTTATCATCATGAACAGATACATTTGAGTTTTCAGAACAACCAAAATGGAAACAATCCATTTCAATATAAAAATGCTACGTTTGAACAACAAAATTATAATATGAATTCTCAAAACGATAGTTCAGTCACTGCCTGCGAGAAGGAAATTA